GAGATATGGAGCATTAAAATGGATCTATTAATTAAATAGAAAAAAAATTAAAAAACACCAAAAAAGCCATTTTTTCACTCGCTCTCTGTTCATTAAAATTTAAACGCAAAGCGTCTTTGAAATTCTCGGAAAATGTAGCTGTCGTAATGACGAACAAATTTAGCCCTGAACGAGCCTGAGATGTTCATTACTTTTTACAAAAAGCGATTTGTTCACTAAAAACCTGTCTGCGGAAAACTTAATTTCTTCATTTTTTAGCAGTCGCACAGCAATTTACAGAGGTGATTTTTCTTCTTCAAGAGTTCCACTATCACGTACATTTAATAACAAAACGATTTTTTGCAGTTAAAGTTGCAGTTATTAGAAAATGACTTTGGAAAGTGGGTATCTTTTTTCGTATAAAAATGGAATATTTCTGTTAATATGCATCATATGAAATAGCCGTGTGAAGCATTCGGCAGCTAACATTTTTCTACGAATTTAAAAAAAAGATTACCCTCTGATTATTAGGAGTCGAGATAACAATTTTTTTTTTAAATTACTGGCTCTAATTTTTAAGATTAGGAGTTCTATATGGCACCAAGTCAAAGAAGAATTGAATTTGTTAAAAAATTCTCGAATTTTTTGCTACTGAAAAAGTTTATTTAAAACCATTGGAAAATTGAGGAACGCGAGAGTGACAGCGCGCCGAGTGGAGTGAAGAAGATCGGGCCGCTCGGCGACTCGCGCGTGTCTGATTTCATGCATTAAAATTTGCTAAATTTATATTTTCTGAACAATAAATTGACGTAGAAACATGATTTTCTTTTAATATGGGTAGAGAGATATAAACAACTAGCCTAACATCGCAAAGAAAGAGTAACCATGAAATTTTTAATTTTTCTTTTCTTAAATTTTTATTTTTTCGGTTTATTACATGTTTGAGTATGGAATGCATGTCTCATTAATAAAATTTAAGTCACATGATCTATGTTTCTTTATTTGTAATGTGCTACAAAGTGTTTAATTGGATAATTATATGTACGGAATTATCAGTACAAAATTTTTTTTGTGAATTTAATTGCAAATATAACATGTGAATAAATAAGTAATTAAGAATTAATAAGTAATTTAGTAAGAATTAATAAGTAATTTAACAAATGTTAGCGTAACGTGAATACTTTTCAGAATATTAAATAAAGAAACGTAGCTCATGTGACTCAAATTTGTCAATGAGACTGCACTCCATACTCAAATGTGATTTTTTAGAACCGAAAATAAACATTCAAGAAAAGGAAAATTAAAAATTTCATGATTATAATTATTTTGCGAATCATTTGGTTAAGCTATTTGTTTCTCGTTGAGCTATCTTAGATTAAAAAAAAAAATCATGTTTCTACGTCAATTTATTGCTGAGAAAATGTAAATTCAGTAAATTTTAACGCACGAAATTAGATACGCTCGAGTCGCCGAGCAGCCCGATCTTCCTCACTTGACTGCGCGCCGGCTCGCTCCCTCCGGCGCGCTACCCTCGCGTTCCCCAATTTTCCAATTGAGGTTTTAAACAAACTTTTTCGGCAGTAAAAGATTTAAAAATTTTTTAACAACAAATTCAATTCTTCCTTAATAAATTGATAAACGGAATTCTTAATCTTTAAAATTAGAGCCACACTTTAGACTTCTTTTTTAAAATCTAATAATCGGAGGATATCCTTTTTAAATGCGTAGAAAAATGTCAGCTGTCGAATGCTTTACACGGCTATTTGATATGATACGTATTAACGGAATTATTCCATTTTTTTATATGAATAAAAGAATTTATATTAATACTCACTTTTCAAAATCATTTTCTAATAGTTTAAATGCAAAAAATCGTTTTGTTACTAAATGTATTAGGTGTTGGAATTAATTCGTAGCGTTTTTTAATGAAAGAATGTTATTTATTTCACATGAGCATTAAAAAATACATTAATGAAAGTACTTCCCATCACTTGTAAAACGCTACGAATTAATTCCAACACCTAATATGTGATAGTGCAATTCTTGAAGAAGAAAAATCATCCCTGTAAATTGCTGTACGACTGCTCAAAGATGAAGAAATTAAGTTTTCCGCAGACAAGTTTTTAGTGAACAAATAGCTTTTTGCAAAAACTGATGAACATTTCAGGCTCGTTCAGGACTAAATTTGTTCATCATTACGAGAGCTACATTTTACGAAAATTTCGAAGCTTTACGTTTAAATCTCAATAAACAGAGAGTAAATGAAAAAAAACTTTCCGATGGTTTTTACTTTTTTCTCTTAACTAATAGATCGATTCTAATGTTTCACGTCTCATTTTGTAGGTATTTCGAATATCTCCATTTTTCATATGGAACTTTTTTCTATACAATCAATATCTTTTGTTTTATAAGCGAAAAACGTGCTTTTTGCAACTATTCGATTTTTTTCGGATATTTTCTTCACAAGTCTCGAGTCTCAAACATATACGTTTCTTTTCTGATCGCTTTTCGAAGATTTTCGTGAAGAGAAATGCTGCTTTATAATTTTTTTCTGGTAAAATTCTACTTCTACTGAATTATTCTTGCTATTCGAGTTTATGAAGGAAGTATATAACGCGCATGAAAAATCATAAACAATTAAATATCTCGTCAACAGTTGCGTTTTAATATGATTTATACTATTCTGGATTAATGGGAGGGGTACATTATTACTATAATTTATTAAAACTTATATGTTATTTAGAATGATCCTCGTCCCTTATCGATGCCATGGGCCTCCGAGCGGCCGAGATTGTCAATAAGAGTTTTTTCGGTTTTTTGTTTGAAACAAGCGACTAGTATGAGAAAGAGCTCCCTGTCTCTTTCATTCTTAGCCAACGGCGAGCACATACATAGGCTTGTGCTTGTATGTGTGTTACCGCACTACGATAAATGACTGAACTTGTAGGTGTGGAAAAATGACGTTTTGATGACGGAACTTATGTTGCATATCATTTCATTATTATTTGCTTAATTGTGAAAATGTGACTTGTCTCGTATTTGTCAAAGTCGTAATTATCGATGAAAAATAAAGTTATCTTGGAGTTTTATATGTAAAAGCGTATATTTTATTCGTTTCAATAGCTGTCAGATCGTGTGTTTCTGTCCGAATATAGGCTCATTTTACGTGCTTTTTACGATCATTTACTGACAGTCAGGGGAGGAAAGGGCAGTTTTTATATCGATTTTTACAAATGTTTTAAATCGATCTCGTCATTTCGTTTCATCCAAATTGTCTTTATTTTTAAAAATTGCATGTAACATAAATTAACTTCTGCCATTCCTCGCTTCTGACGTCACGATTCCAGCATGGCCATCAGGAGCCTTAAAAGGGGAATCTATTTTAGAAAGTTGAGAAGTAGCTGTTTTTTTGCGAATTTTTTATGAACAAACCATGAAGCCGATCTTTTTAAAACTAGGGGTGATTTGTTATATATGTCAACAATACAAAATTTTTTATATAATAAATACAACAAGTTGTATATTATTATTGTGCTTCGGCACAGACGTTGTTAATTGGTGTGCAATATGGAAATTATAATTCTTGCCTGAATCAGAAAATCCAAAAATTTTTTGAAATTAGATAATATTTTATCCTAAATGAACAAAAAAAAAATAGAATAAAAGTATCAAAGTGTAAGAATTTTGGAACTTTAAAAAAAAGGTACGATTTTGAAAATAAAATTTCGACTTTTTTATGTTAAAATAATTATTTATATTAATTTTTGAACAAATGTTTTTAGTTCATTTAGATTGACAATTATGTATTATAACTAAAAAACTTTAGACATTGTCGATTGATCAAATAATTTTAGTTATCTTGCACGCTAATTTCGGAAAAGTGATTTTGAGAAAAATGCGTTTAAAGTTTTCAATATCGTGCAGATTTCGCTGTATATCTGCGCGAGGCATACCTGTTTCTTAGGCTATAACTACAAAAATATTTCGAATTTCGGTATAAAACTTCACAAATATATTTTTAAAGAGTAATACTATCGATTAAAGCAAAAAAAAATGGAGATTTTGACTCTCTAAACCATGTTCTCCCCTTAAGTCAAAACATTCATATTAATTTATTATTTCTTGTTCATTTAGAATAAATTAATTTTTACCTTTTCAATTTTTTTTAATTATATTTTACTAAGCATTATCTTTTTAAAAGTGAAAAATTTATCGAGTCTCACTAATTATTAATATGTAATATTCAGGTTATATAATACTTCCAAATTTTTTAAAGAATATTATGTTAGTTTTTATGCATATATGTTAACTAATTCTTTTTATTTATAATATTTTAGTATTTCCTGAATAAATTTGCCATATAAATGTATAAGTAAACTTCGAACTTTGAAGCTTCGAACATATCAACTTTGAAAATTAGAAGTTAACTTTGAAGCTTCAAATTCTTTCGAAGCTTCGAACCTTTGAAGTGAGTCAAAAATAATATTAGGTGTTGGAATTAATTCGTAGCGTTTTTTAATGAAAGAATGTTATTTATTTCACATGAGCATTAAAAAATACATTAATGAAAGTACTTCCCATCACTTGTAAAACGCTACGAATTAATTCCAACACCTAATAGCTTTACTAAAAAATAACTCGTTACTTTCTGGTCATTACTTGTAAAGGGTAATGAGTAACGTTACTCGTTACAAATTATCTTTTTTAGTAAATAAACGCATAATGATGCAAGTTACTTTTTAAAGTGACTTTCCCAACTTAGCGCAATCTTAACATTTAGTTAGTTATCATTATAATCATAAAAAATTGCAACGTCATTATTGTAACTAAATTGTTATTATAAAAAGTAACGGAATAATAACTCTTCCATTCCTTAAGTTATTTTAGTTTATCTTGCAGATCCTAAAAAATATGGACGGACCAATCAGAAATTGTGAAAATGATATCCAATCTCTTACTTAAAATCTCTAATTTTATCTACAATTTGTTGTTTCTTAATTCTACATTGATAATTTGTGTAGGGATATGATATGGAAGATGCAATGGTCATCAATAAGTCTGCATACGAACGTGGTTTCGGACATGGAACAATTTATAAGTCCGAGTTTGTTGATTTGAATGATAAAAAGAGTTATTTTGCCCGTGACCCAGAGAGACCTGATCTTGAGAAAACGATAGATATTGATGGTTTACCTAGACCACGTATTATTATTAAAGAAGGAGATGCGTATTATTCGTAAGTACTTCTTGTAGCTTCAATATTATCATGTTATGATCTTCTAAAAATCTCATGTATTTGACAGTTATTACGATGCCGATAATGCTCAGTATGTAATTGGAAGATATAGAAGCACAGAAAACGCTTACATCGATAATGTAAAGCTATGCGGTACATTAAATAATCAAGATCCGCGAAGAGTGTGCATTACATTCCGTATTCCTGTTGGTACAATTATAATACATATATACGTAAATGTATACATGCGCGCATGTATATCATCGTAAAATATATATTTTTAAACACTTATATTTTAAACAATTTGTATTTAATTCAAATGTATTAAATTTTCAGAGAAATCCCACCGTTGGAGATAAATTTGCGTCAAGAGCGGGACAAAAAGGAATCCTTTCGCGGCTATATCCTGTCGAGGATTTACCGTTTACGGAAACTGGAATGGTCCCCGATATTATATTCAATCCGCATGGTTTCCCAAGTCGTATGACAATAGGTAAACTAGAGAATTTATTTTATTATTAGGAGGCTGTAAAATGAGGTCAAATAGATTTTTTGAATCGTTTATTGCGAATTTGAATCAAAATTAAAAAATTAAAATTTAAATTACTTGACCCCATTTTACTGCCCAAAATTAATTTTTTAATTTTTTGTCCACCATCTTGGATTCGTCATTTTGAATTTCAAAAATATGAGATTAGATTTATAATCAGCGATCCCGAAAACCCCCGAGTAACAAGTTACATTGAAATCAAATAATTTTTCGCTATTTTGTCCACCATATTGGATCCGTCATTTTGAATCTTGAAAATCTGAGGCCAGATTCGTAATCAGGGATCGCGAAAATCCCCGAGTAACAAGTTTCAGTAAAATTAAGCAATTTTTTGCTCTTTAGTCCGCCATATTGGATCTGCCATTTTTAATTTTGAAAATCTGAGGCCAGATTCGTAATCAGTGTTCCCGAAAACCTCCGAGTAACAAGTTTCATTGAAACCGCCATTTTGGATTCGCCATTTTGAATTTTTTAATTTTGACTTCAGATTTGTAATCAGCAACCCAAAAAAACCTTTCAGACTTCATTTTCAGCTAGTTAGTTATTGATTAGTTACAATCACATTTATATATCTTGTTAAAAAAGAATGAATTTTTTCAGTTTGTTTATTTATAAAATACATTTCGCTAACAATAGAAATGTTTCCACGATTTTTTTTAATAACAATTGATGTTCTAAATACTGATAATGTTCCTTTTAGTGTAGTAATATGTTAGAGAAATTGTATGAAAATCATAAAAAACTAAGGTTAAAAAGGTGTCACATATGTGGGACACTGTGCCGTAAAGGGTTAAACAAAATAATGAACGAATACCTTAATTAAAATATTTTTCTTCGTTTTATACAACTTTTCTATCTTTCTGGCAAAAGATGGATTCCGCGATGATAAAAAGATTTTTCTTTGGAGTTGATTCAATTTTCAACAAATTTTCGCATATTTTCGAAATTATGAAAGTGCGTCTCTAGAGCATGTTGCATCGATCGGAATAAGTAAAAATTAGGCTTGCAATGTCTGGAGAGTGCAATGTCTGGCGAGATGCGATAAAACTTCCCATTCCAGCTCTAATAGCGTTTGTTTCACTGATAATGATTTTGAGATCGAGCATTGTCTTGAAAAAAGATCATTTTGCGTCATTTAATCGCAATTGGAAATCGTTTTTGATCTAATGCTTGCTTCAATTTGTATAATTGTTGTTGATAGTAATCAGCAGTGATCGTTTCTTTTGGATTTAATAATTCATAGTAGGGATGTAATGTACTAAAAATATCCGATGTTCGGTATTATCCAGCACTATTTTTATCGGATAGTCGGATTCATTCGTATTCGAGAATATATCGGGTTGAAATTTTATATCATTAAATTGTTAATTTTTTTATTATATATAAATGTTCTATAAATAAATATGCTTAAATATACTCATAATGCTATAATACCTTATATATTGCTGTAAAATTACAATTCTTTTCTTTACAGTTATCATCGCTATGATATAGTTGCTCTTGATATAGATGCTTTTGCTCCTTTTTTTTTCATTCTTTTTTTGGAACACATTGCCTCGGAATCCAGTCGGATATCCGGAAAATATCGAATATTCGAAAAATTGCCTTCTCAGATATCGGATATCTGACAATTTTACGATCTGGTGATTCACTAGTTCATAGTACACAACATCTTGATTCCATCAAATACACAGTAATACCTTTGAATCATGAATATTGCGTCTCAAGGTGAATGTTGCTGGTAGGGCTGGATCATGGTTTTTTTCGTTTGGGATTATTAAAATAGATACATTTTTCATCGTTAGAAACAATTCGATACAAAAAACAATAAATATGTAGATTAGGGGAGCACACTCCAATGATCTTGATATATTGTCAAGGTCATGACGCTGAATGACCTTGAGAAAATTTTAAGCGTCGGATGGCTAAAAAGGTATAAACAAAAAAGTTTAAGAAGTAATGTCTCATTTCTGATATATAAAACCAAAATTTTGTGCTTTAAAAAAACATTTTCTTATATCATTTTTGTTCTTAAGGTTCCTGACTAGTCGCGACGGCCATGCTGGAATCGTGACGTCAGAAGAGAGGAATGACAGAAATTAATTTATGTTGCATGCCATTTTTAAATACAGACAATTTGGATGAAACGAAATGACGAGATCGCTTTAAAACACTTGTAAAAATCGATGAAAACTGCCCTTTCCTCTCTTGACAATCAGTAAATGATCGTTAAAGCACGTAAAGTGAGCCTATATTCGGACAGAAACACACGGTCTGAAACAGCTGTTGAAACGAGTAAAATATACGCTTTTACATATAAAATTTCAAGATAACTTTAGTTTTCATTGATAATTACGACTTTGACAAATACGAGACAAGTTCACAATTAAGCAAATAATAACGAAATGACATGCAACATAAGTTCCGTCATCAAAATGTCACTTTTCCACACCTACAAGTTCTATCATTTATCGTAGTGTGGTAACACATACAAGCACAAGCCGTTGGTACGCTAAGAATAAAAGAGACAGGGAACTCTTTCTCACACTAGTCGCTTGTTTCAAGTAACCGAAAAAAGTCTTGTTGGCAATCTCGGCCGCTCGGAGGTCCACGGCATCGATAAGAGACGAGGATCATTCTAAATAACATATAAGTTTTAATAAATTATAATAATAGTGTACCCCTCCCATTAATCCAGAATAGTATAAATCATGTTAAAACGCAACTGTTGACGAGATATTTCATTGTTTACGATTTTTCATGCGCGTTACATATCTCCTTCATAAACTCGACTGATAAGAATAATTCAGTAGAAGTAGAATTTTACTGGAAAAAAATTATAAACCAGCATTTCTCTTCACGAAAATCTTTGAAAGGCCATCAGAAAAGAAATGCGTATGTTTGAGACTCGAGACTTGTGAAGAAAATATCCGAAAAAAATCGAATAGTTGCAAAAAACACCTTTTTCGCTTATAAAACGAAAAATATTGATTGTATAGAAAAAAGTTCCATATGAAAAATGGAGATATTCGAAATACCTCTAAATGAGACGTGAAACATTAAAATCGATCTATTAATTAAATAGAAAAAAAGTAAAAATCATCGGAAAAAGTTTTTTTTCACTTACTCTCTATTTATTGAGATTTAAACATAAAGCTTCGAAATTTTCGTAAAGTGTAACTCTCGTAACAAATTTAGTTCCGAACGAGCCTGAAATGTTTATTAGTTTTTACAAAAAGCCATTTGTACACTAAAAATCTGTCTGCGGAAAACTTATTTGCGAAAAATTCTTTGAGCAATCGTACAGCAATTTACAGGGATGATTTTTCTTCTTCAAGAATTGCACTATCACATACATTTAGTAACAAAACGATTTTTTGCAGTTAATTATAAAATGACTTTGAAAAGTGGGTATCTTTTTTTCCTATAAAAAAATGGAATATCTTCAATGGAAAACCATTGGAAAATTGAGGAATGCGATGGAGGCAGCCCGCCGGGCGGAGCGAGGGAAGCCTGCGCGCAGTCGAGTGGGGTAGATCGGGTTGCTCGGCGATTCGAGCGTATCTAATTTCATGCGTTAAAATTTGCTAAATTTACATTCTCTCAGCAATAAATTGACGTATAAACATGATTTTTTTTTAAATCTGGGGTAGCTCGACGAGATATACATAAATAGCTTAACCAAATGATTCGCAAAGTAATTGTAACCATGAAATTTTTAGTTTTCCTTTTCTTGAATGTTTATTTTTTCGGTTTATTACTAAAAAATCACGTTTGAATATGGAGTGCAAGTCTCATTAATAAATTTAAGTCACATGAGCTATGTTTCTTTATTTAATATTCTGAAAAGTGGACAATTAAATGAAATTATCAGTACAAAATTGTTTTTGTTAATTTAATTTAGATGCAAATATGACATACGTAACATACGTAAACAAATAATTAATAACTAATTTGCTAAATGTTAGCGTAACTGTTGAAGAAAGATAGTTGCAAAATATTTATTTTATATAACACTAATTTACTTTTATATTTGCGAAAGTTAGTGTTATATCTTCAACAGTTACGCTAACATTTGTTAAATTATTTATTATTATTTGTTCACGTGTTATATTTGCAATTAAATTCACAAAAAGTTTTGTACTGATAATTCCGTACATATAATTGTTCAATTAAATACTTTGTAACACATTACAAATAAAGAAACATAGATCATGTGACTTAAATTTTATTAATGAGACATGCATTCCATATTCAAATGTGTAATAAACCAAAAAAATAAAAATTTAAGAACAGGAAAACTAAAAATTTCATGGTCACTCTTACTTTGCGAAACATTTGGTTAAGCTAGTTGCTTATATCTCTACCCCACAATAAAAAAAAATCATATTTCTACGTCAATTTATTGTTCAGGAAATGTAAATTTAGCCAATTTTAATGCATGAAATTAGATACGCGCGAGTCGCCGAGCGGCCCGATCTTCTTCACTCCGCTCGGCGCGCTGTCACTTTCGCGTTCCTCAATTTTCCAATGGTTTTAAATAAACTTTTTCGGTAAAACAAAAAATTCGAGAATTTTTTAACAGCAAATTCAATTCTTCCTTGACAAATTGTGTCATATGGAACTCTTAATCTTAAAAATTAGAGCCAGTAATTTAAAAAAAAATTGTTATCTCGACTCCTAATAATCGGAGGGTAATCTGTTTTTTAAATTCATTGAAAAGTGTCAGCTGTCGAATGTTTCACATGGCTATTTCATATGATGCATATTAACAGAAATCTTCCATTTCTTATTCGAAAAAAAGATACCCACCTTTCAAAGTCTTTCTAATAGTTTAAGTGCAAAAAATCGTTTTGTTACTAAATGTACGTGATAGTGCAACTCTTGAAGAAGAAAAATCACTTCTGTAAATTGCTGTGCGACTGCTAAAAATGAAGAAATTAAGTTTTCCGACAGGTTTTTAGTGAACAAATGGCTTTTTGTAAAAACTAATGAACATTTCAGATTCGTTCAGGGCTAGATTTGTTCGTCATTATGAGGGCTACATTTTACGAGAATTTCAAAGACGCTTTGCGTTTAAATCACAATGAATAGAGAGCGAGTGAAAAAAATGGCCTTTTTTGGTGTTTTTTAAATTCTTTTTCTACTTAATTAATAGATCAATTTTAATGTTCCACATTTCATTTTGTAGGTATTTCGAATACTTACATTTCTCATGTGAATTTTTTTTTCATACAATTAATATCTTTCGTTTTATAAGCGAAAAACGTGCTTTTTGGAACTATTCTATAGATTTTTTCGCATATTTTCTTCACAAGTCTCGAATCTCGAATATACGCATTTCTTTTCTGATGACCTTTCGAAGATTTTCGTGAAGAGAAATGCTGGTTTATAATTTTTTTCTGGTAAAATTCTACTTCTACTAAATTATTCTTGCTAGTTGAGTTTATGAAGGAGATACATAACGCGCATGAAAAATCGTAAACAATTAAATATCTTGTAAACTGTTGCGTTTTAGCATGATTTATACTATTTTGGATTAAAAAAAAAAGGGAGGGATATACTATTACTATAATTTATTACTAAAACTTATATGTTATTTAGAATATCCGTCGCCGCTTATTGATATGCTGGAGGCCGCTGAGCAGCCGAGAAAGCATTTTCGGTCGCTTGAAACAAGCGACTAATGTGAGAAGGAACTGGCTGTCTCGTTCACTCTCGACGCGCCAAAGGTGAGCACACATGGATTCGAGCTTGAAAGTATGGCTACTGGTTTCGCGAGACAGTTCTTGGCTGAGTAGTCAGGAGCCTTAAAGCAGAAAATTTATGATTTTATGGCGACTCTTCATTAAAATGAAACATGTATTAGGTGTTGGAATTAATTCGTAGCGTTTTACAAGTGATGGGAAGTACTTTCATTAATGTATTTTTTAATGCTCATGTGAAATAAATAACATTCTTTCATTAAAAAACGCTACGAATTAATTCCAACACCTAATACGAAAGTCGCATGGAAAGTCATGTGCCTTACAAATGGGTGAAAGTCGCTTTGCATGGAAATCATGCGTCCTTGAAGAAAGGTGTGGGTAGATGGGGTAAAAGTCACTTTTGCCGAGGAGTCATGCGCCTCTGAAGCAGGGGGATAGATGGGGTAGTCCTTGCTTCGCGGAAAGTGCGTCCCTTAGCAGAAGGGGAGGTGGGATGGAACTCGCATCGCGTGGAAAGTTGTGCCCTTTAGCAAGGAAGAAGGTGGAACCTCACTTTACACAGAAAATCATTTCTAAAATAGAAAATTTATTTTAAATCTGAGAATTTTGATTTTATATATCAGAAATGAGATATTTCTTAAACTTTTTTGTTTATTTAATTTTTTAACAAGTAACGTCTGACAGTTAAAATTTTCTCAGGGTTATTCAGGATCATGATCTTGACAACATGTCGAGGTCAAAGTCATTGGGGAAAGGGGGGGGGGCTTTCGTTATTTACATATTTACCCGAAAAACTTTTCTTTTTTTATTTGGCGATCAATGAAATGCAAATATTCAATCGGTTCGCAATGGTATTTTTCGATAATTGATGTAGAACCGATTTTCCTTCTTTGAATCTTTTCCATGTAAACGTTTAATTGTATTGTACGATCAACATTTAATTTTCTGGCAAGTTCTGAAATGGATTGTGCTGAATTTTCATCCAATAATGCTTGCAAATCTGCATCAATGTTTTTTGGTTGTCCCCCCCGAGCAATCTTTGTCCTTTAACATTAAAATCACCATTTTTTAATTGTCTGAACCAATATTCACAAGTCTTGATTGATGGAGCAACATTATCATAAGTTTCTATCAGAATTCTATGATTTTCAACCATCGTTTTCTTCTGATTAAAAAACAAAAGCAACGTATGTCGAAAATGCTCTTTAGGAAACTCCATTTTTTAAATGGTACAAACACGATGTTTACTGTGTCTATTGTTAGTAAATGACTAAATATAGTAATAGTAAGGTTCATGGCACACAAAAATTTAAGATAGTAAGGATATTGTCAATCAACTGATCAGAATCTTTCCTCTCCTCCCATTTCATGGAAAAGAATTTCGATTGGTTGATTCCTTTATGCACTATGCATTGTGCATTATGCAAGAGTCTGTGCTATGCTCTACACAAACTTGCATAGCCGCATAAACGTATGCATAAAGAAATTAAATTATCCAATCACATTTTACGTGTATTTTTATAGGAGAAATGCGATTGGATAATTTTCTTTATGCATACGTTTATGCGGCTATGCAAATTGTGGGGATATACTTTAAGACGTAAACAGTAAGGAAACATGTTGGATTGGCTACTGCTTATTTTATGGTTCTTACGAACTGTGATCAATTCGCTTATCGCTTACGTTTTACTGCTTTTTTTTTGTTTTGCGAAGGAAGAGAAAATCTTCAAAGTCCCTCTCCGGGAAGATTCCCAAGCAATTCTAACCGGTCCCCAAGGAGAAAACTTATACTTGGAGAGGGGAAGGCATCCGACGGCTCGTCAGTATGCAGGACTCAACCGAGTTATTATTCGCGCACAAGGCGCAGGATTAACTCGGCCATCTACCTACTAAAAACTCTCTCTGAAAGCACTGCGCCCCTGACACATGCGCCCCTGAGAACGCTCTAGAATCGGTATTATATCAAGACGCTCCCTTCGTACCTTTAGAGTCATGCTCCCACCGCTTACGGGTTATTGCATTATAACTGAACTATATAATATTTATAAACGTTAATTAATTAAGGTACAAATACAATTACAGTCGAATCTCTTTAGAAGCAATTTCTCAGGACCGATCGATCTCCGTAAAAGTAAACAAATGCGCTAGCGTATGCTCGATTACTATATGGGAGATTAAGTCATGACTTTTACGGAGGTTAACTTTACGGAGGTTCGGCTGTATTTACAAAAATTATATATAATATATACACATCCGCTTAAATCAGCCGGAGCAGGCAGTGTCCATCTTCGAGCCTCATTTTGATGCGCCCGCTCCGTCTCTTCTTTCCTCGTTATGACGGTCTCGCAATACGTTGCGAAGACTGTCCATTTTAAGAGAGAGCCCATAATGGCCTCCATCATCACCAGATATATTCTCTCCAAATCTATATCTAGCCCTAGTTTATGGAAGAGCACACCCCGTTCCGCCGTCCAGGTAGGACAATAGAGAAGAGTGTGCCTTCCCGGTCCACCGCCGCCCTACAAGCAAATCGGCGTCCTATTTATCTCATAGAGATAGGTTTCAAAACAATCATGTCCCGTCAAGATTTGAGTCGTGTGGAAGGTAAGGCCATAGTATATACAATAGTGCAATTCTCTGTCGGTACCTTTGATGATAATGTTTCCCAAAATGGAGTGCGCACGCGCGAAATAAGTAAGTTCCCTAGTAACGCCATTTGAATTTCTTTCTCAGTTCCTCTTTATTTTTCCGCTCTCTCTCTCTCTCTCTCTCTCTCTCTCTCTCGGTCTCTTTCTAGGTCGTTTGTACATCAAAGTATATATATAATCTAAATGTAATAAAAATAAAAGAAATAGATTTATAATGCATTGCAAAATAAAAAAAAATACAAAAATAAGAAAATATAAAATTATATAAATATTGTATGATACAAATATTATGCTGTAAAAATATTTAACGACTGCAGCATACGATGCTTGTTTTCCTATTAGATTGCTTGCGTTTTAGTAAATTATTAGAATTGCATCACATAGAACGCAGATTTCTAGCTAAAACGAAAGCAATCCAGTAATTTTACATATCACTCAGTATTTAAGTAAGACTAACGAAATTAGTGTATTTGCAGGTGCGTGCATGCGTGCGTGCGTGCGTGCGTGCGTGCGTACGTGCATGCGTGCAAGTGTGTGTGTATGATTTCAGTTAATGGTTCACCTCTCATTGTATTGTTGTCTTATTTCCGATTTTGCTGCTGGTGGGCTTTGTAACAGCAATTTTGCTGATGCCTAACCATTTGCAAGCTACTAATGACTATTGTATTGTATTTTATTTTATGTTATGTCTACTATAGTTTATTGTATCATATTTTATATCTATTACTCTGTTAACATATAGTCTTTCTCATAAAGCTTCGCAATAAATTAAATTAAACTAATTATACTAAACTAATTAAACTAAACTAATCATGATTTTCTTTTCTTCTATCTCTTTCTCTGATCCGTATTTCAACTACGCGAACATTTAAATGACCCTGAAAAAGAGAACGGAAAAAGAAAGAAGTGAGATAGAAGTTTAGATGTTGGCATGACTGGGCAATTCACTTATTTCGCGCATGCTTCATTTTGGACAACATAAAATCAGGAGAGTTGCGCTATTGTATATACTGTAATAAGCACCATGTGCTCTCCCCATTCCAGTCTGCCCACCAGAGTATCTCTTGTAACAAACCCGGGCGCGTCAAGGGGGAGCCCTGCAGCTGCTGCCTTCAATCGCGCCATAAATCGCAAATGACAGTCAGGATTCTCGACGCTATTATCCCGTTCCGCCGCAGGATTTCTTGCCTACGTAGATAGCGGTTCGCGAGTAACCTAAAAAGAATCATTCTCGTGAGTAAGCGCTGCTGTCTCGTGCGAGATGTATTCTCTTTTTGTATCCTCTTATAACTCTAAGCGTGAGTTGCTGCAGCCACGCCACATTCTTGCAAACGACCCGATCATTCATAGCTATCTGTGCCCAACAGAGGCCCCATAAAAGACGATCGACAACACGACGGTGACATACACCCAACGACGATATTCGTCGGGTCCGCCAATGTTAGCAGTCAACCTGCCCAATGCCGCGGTCATCGATCTAACCTTTGGCAGGAGAAGACGAAAGTGGTCTCGGAAGGTCCACTGAGAGTTCAGGACAAGTCTCAGATATTTCACGATGGACTCTACCATCGTCCCAACAGAGGTGCTTCTGGTACCCTGCCCGCCATGAACGCCGCTACTTCTGTCTTCTCGACAGAGACTTAGGCTCAACTCGATGGACCCGATAACAGAGGCCATCCCAAGCTCTGCCCAAACCAGAGGCCTCTTATAAGAGGCTCATCACTATATGTAACAGAGTACCGAGCACCTGATCTATAAAGCGTGTCTTAAGATGGAATCGTATCCGATGTTTCACAAAGTCGGTCCAAGGACCGACTCTTAAGGAACTCCGCAAGTCATCTCTATGTAAAGCAATTATACTATTACATCCAAACTCTTGGAAAATTTTAATTTATGATCCTATTGGAGTGAAAAAGAGCGGAAATGGCAAGAGTACTTGGAAGGACGGTCAGACTCTTGTCTCGCGGGTATCCGCACAGAGCTGAGTATCGCTAGTCGAACGCATCTCTTTGTGCTCACCTCGGAATATAGGTCAATATCCTGCAAGACCGCTATAACACCTGTTTCCTACGAGCGAGATCGTCAAATGTCAAGTCAAGGAATCTAATCCTTTTAACTTGGAATTGGACCACATGCGATCTTTGAAAAGGCAAAGCTAACGATTACAAGGTCTCAGGATTTTAAAATTTAGAGAATGAGAGAGAGATAAAAATTTGATAACATCATTTATTATTACTAAACATTATTAATCTAAATTTAACGCATTACAAGATTCAATAGAATTACAATACAATTACAAAAAATGAAAGAAAAGGTTACACATAACAGAATTATTATTACAAACTAAAATTATTGTTACAAACTAACTTACACACAATAAAAAAAGACAAATTTACAATTTATTTGACGACATTATTATTATTAACTATTTTACATATAATAAATCGCCAGAGAGTGAAATTCAGGGCGAGCAGTGCTGATTGACTTTGTTTTTAATCTATTTCGCGTATAGTAGCGAAGGAAGGGGGAAAAAGATTGAAGAAGAATTCCATCGGAACTACGAGGGGCATTCCAAAAGTAAATTTCCCTATCGTAAATAAAACAAACCAGTTATACGAATAGCTTGTGTATTGTAGGATTTTTTCTTTGGAATATCTCAGCAACATTTTTGCAGTCAGAGTTGCCTTCACAGCAGCCATTGGTAGCTGAGTAAATTTGAATCATGGAAGCGCCAATATAAGACTTCCAACTGCGAATTACGTGCGGTAATTCGGTTTCTGACCGCAAAAGGTCAGATAAAAGGTGCAATAAATATTTATCGTCAACTAATTTCTGTATATGGAGAACAATACATGAGTATGTAAATAGTTTGCCGATGGCGATCAGGGTTTATTAACAGTCGAACGACAATTTATGATGAGTCTCGAAGCGATAGGCCGCGCACGTCAACAAATATTGACATTATCGCAGCATTGTTCAAAACAACCGTCGACTTATAATAGATGATATTCAACACAATTTAAACAAGAATGTTAGTCGCTCATCAATTGGACGCATAATGCGTAATGAATTGCATTATCGTAAGATAAGAGCCAATCGGAATTCGAACTAGGAATCCTTCACATTTGGCTACTACACCGTTCTATTCTGCTCCTCTATTCCTTATTTCGCTCTTCTATCAATACTCTTACAGGTATGCGCAAGATGGATCCTAAGATTGCTTTCTGATGATCACAAAAAGACACGAGCTGATGTTACACTCAATATTTTGAAACTTTATCATGAACAAGGAAATGATTTAATTTTTCGAATAGTCACAGGAGATGAAATTTAGGTCCATCATCATATTCCAAAAACAAAGCATGATATGGAAAATTTCTGAGGAAAGCGTTCAAAAAAAAATATAAAGTCGTCTCTGTCGGAAAAGTCATGACAATGATTTTCTGGGATAGTACTGGTGTTATTTTGATCGATTTTTTCGAAACAGGATGAACAATTACTGCTGAACGATACTGTGACACTTTAATAAAACTGAAAGCCATTAAACGAAAGAGACCAAACTTGTTATCGGAAAGTTTTTTTGTTTCATAACAATGCACGTCCTCATTCAGCAAGATAAAGGATTTGTTACGATAATTTCGTTGAGAAATTTTTGATCATCTACTATACTCTCCAGATTTAACACCATGATTTTCACCTGCGCTTAAAAAAACATTTGGGTGGCAAAAGTTTTGACAGCGACGACGAAGGCTGAAGTGAAATCATGGCTCCGATCCATGGACACGTTTTTTTATAACACTGGTATTCAAAAACTAGTGTCACGTTACGAAAAGTGTTTAAATGTTAATTACGTTGAAAAATAACTTAAGGATGAAGTTAAAAAAAAAATGGTATAATTGTTCAACCTTTCATTTCATTTTCCTAAAGTAGAGTAAGTTTCCAAACTTACTTTGGGGATGCCCTTTCTAAATACAGAATTCGGAATGAACCCCGGAATACGGGAAATGAGGAGGTTGGCTGGTAATTTCACGCCAGATTTCTTGTGGATCGAAATAATGGAACCCGATCATAAAAGTCTCCTCGAAAATAGGTTCGATAATCCGCGGGAATTGTCTAACAAGTAACTCAAATAAGTCACTCTCTTGAATGCGGAAATGGGATCTCGGTGGAGGAGTAATTTCTTCTAGGAACTCTACGCTGTCCGTGGATTTCGTCGGAGAAGAAGTTCCTCTGGGGGAAAACGGGATTGAGACGACGGATAAATCGGGTGTTAGCGAAGGGGTCAGAGAAAATTCGTAAAGTTAAAGCGTCGGACAGCGCGGGGGAAGCAAGTTCCGGAATGGAAGAAAGTATGCGGGAAGGTGGAGAGAGTGAACAGAAAGGTGATCGGGAAGCCGCTACTATACGCAACGGCCGAATTGGAGGCTGCGGTGAACCCGCTGGTGCCGGCGGCGCCGGTGATGGTGTTGATGAATGGACGTTCTAAACAAGGTTTGTCGAATTTTCTGAATTCGCATGTCGTTGAAATTCCGCGTATGCCTCGTTCAACAATCTACACGCTTCTATGTAAGGCCGACTCCGGAATCAACCTCTGAATGGGTGGTTATTCCTTGATCGTGGCACTACGTTGGCAATTACGTTACTAAAGGTTTGCGGATAAAAAGGAAAAAAAAGGATTTACTATTTCGGTAGGCCTTGTTTCAATTATTTGGTGGTATCTTTTGTTTTCTAAAGTGGCTCGATGATAGTCCCGATCTTGTCAATCAGCGAGGTGTTGGGTCTTTGAAAATGCACTGAACTGTATGTTTATGTGTATGTTACTTGATTGACTGAGCGAATATAGACTGTGAAAGTAATGATCGATAGACTGCGAAAATGACTGACTGAGAAGTAGAACCGGACACGGAATAAGAGCAGAAAAATAATGAGAGCGAGTCTCGCGGTGTCACGGTTTATATTGAGAGTTTCGAAAGGTGATTCTTTGATGGGACGTGTAATTTAGAAAATTGAGGATTCGGGTTAGAGGGATTTTTCTATTTTGATAAGAAATTGGTATCTCGTGTTCCTACTGGCGAATTATTTCCAAAATTTGCTCTGCCCGTACTACAAGTTTCAATCTCTTGAGAACTTATTGATGATACGTCATCATCTTCTCTTGGTTTTAGATCTACGGTCA